TCACCCGTACGGTAACCCCTGGTACTACCTTTCAGTATTTCGTCAGGAGGCCGTTGGAGCTATTAGCTCAATAGTCTGGGTCGATATAGTTAGTCGTCAATATTTGTCAACCGTCTCGGTTTCAGTACTCGTAACTATGTGTCCAGTTCGTATGTTACCTGGTCCACATTAGTGTCAGTCGCTGGTGTGCTGTTATCGCGCCTTCGCCTCTGCTGTTCGCTCCATCGCAAATGCTGCATTATTTCAGCTGCAATTCTGCTAACTGTAGTCCAGGCATTTTCATTTTCCAGCATGCATTTAACGAGAGTTTCTGGCGTCAAGTCGGTGCCTAGAGACTCGTTCAGCCTTCGCCGCTGCCCCGCGAATCGCCTGCAGACGAATATTGTGTGCTCGGCGTCTTCTATAAAATCTGGGCCGCAGACTTCGCAATATGGATCCGCTTCATGGCCAAAGCGGTGTAGATAGCTTTTAAAGCATCCATGACCGCTAAGCACTTGCGTTAAATAGAAGTCTACTTCGCCGTGCTTCCTGCCTAGCCATACCGCAAGGTTTGGGATCAAACGGTGGGTCCATCTTCCTTTTTCACATATATTCCATCTTCTCTGCCAGCGAGCAATAGATAGAAGTCTTTCGTCTCTTTTGATGCTGTAGCTCCGCTCATCTCGTCTAAGACTTGAGATTGTGTTTTGTTCCTTAGCGGCTATGTCGAGAGGGATTATCCCGGCGATAACTAAGGCTGCCTCCTCTGACACGGTGTGGAAAGCAGCGCAAACGCGGAGTGCGCACCGCCGGTAAGTGGACTTAACGCCACGGGCGTATGACTCTATTTCCAATGATGAATACCAAATCGGAGAAGCATAGAGCAGGATTGATTTAACTACCCCTGCGAGAAGCTGCTTGCTTTGCTGGCGCGCTCCGTTGACGTTTGCCATTAGTCTAGCTAAGGCAGTGGTAGCTATTGCGGCTTTATTATTCGCGTATTCGAGGTGATCTCGAAAGTTTAGCCGATGGTCAATGATCACACCTAAGTATTTAACGCATGACTTTGATTCAATGATGCAATCCCCAACTCTGATTTGAACCTTCTCTACTTTTTTCCGGCTGCTAATGAGAACGGCTTCCGTTTTATGATCTGCCAATTGCAGACATTTTGCTTCAAGCCATCTTTTAATGCTTGATGTGGCTAACTCAGATAGCTGAACTAAAGCAGGCAGTTTTGCGACCACGACGATTGCTATATCATCAGCGTAGCCTACTATGGTTATATCTTTGGGGAGCTCTATCCGCAGAACTTCATCGTACATGATATTCCATAAGATAGGCCCCAGTACGGACCCCTGGGGAACCCCAGCGGTGATCTTCCGCTTCACTACTCCTTCTCTGGTACTATATTGCAGGACTCTATCGCTTAAGTAGCTAGAAAGAATGTTGGTCAAGTATGGCGGTACATTGAGGCTCTTTAGGGCATTTAATATATGAGCCCAGCTTGCGCTATTAAATGCGTTTTGCACATCGAGAGTTACAACTAAGCAGTATTGTTTATCTCCGTGCAACCAACGTCTGCCGCAGATTGCTTTTTCTACGATGGACTTGACTACGTTGATTGCGTCTATCGTACCGCGCCCTTTACGAAACCCAAATTGAAGAGGAGATAACTTATTGTCGATATGGCTTTCCAGGCGGTTTTTAATAATGTGCTCCAAAACCTTCCCTGTGTTGTTAAGAATTGATAAGGGGCGGTAAGCCGTCGGCCATACCCTATTTGAAGATTTTGGGATAAGCACCAGGTTTTGCATCTTCCAAATGCTTGGAAAAACTCCTTCCTGAATGCAGGTCCCGAATGTCGATGCAAAGACCTTTGGGTTGCATTTAAGTGCTGTTTTTAGAGCTATATCTGGTATACCATCTATCCCGGGTGCTTTATGCCTGGATAATTTTCCGCCCGCTTTGAATATTTCTTCGTATGTAATTGCTGGAATACTAGCGTCAGGTATGGGAACTATATTTATCTCTACCAACTCGTGGGTGGGAAATAAGGTATCCACAATGCTTCTTAGAAGTTCTGGACTTTTTGGTTGAGCATGGCGTTTTAGTTTTTTAAGAACCAACTTGTAAGCTAGTCCCCAGGGGTTGTTGTCTACGTCGGTACATAAGTCTGAAAATGCTTTGCGCTTGCTGTCGCGTATAGCATTTTTTAGCTATTTGCGTCTTAATTTATATGTCTCCCTATGACTCGTGAAGTTACTTGAGTTACGAGCACGTTGACATAGCCGCCTCGCTTGATTGCATTGAGCTCGTATCATGTTACTATTCCACCAGTACACAGGCTTGGGCATCTGGTTGCCGCATTTCCTTCGAGCCATAGACGCGTCGCACGCGTTGGTGATTAACTTCATAAGTTTTTTAGATCTTTCGTCCGCTGAACCTGAGAAGTCAGTGCCAGTAAAGATTTCCTCAAACAGTTTCTCGTCAAAAGTGTTAACCTTCCACCCTTTTCTACGGCCTGGTTCGGAGTGCTTGAATTGCGGGTCATCAATAATGATGGTTATAGCGCGGTGATCACTTTGCGTGTAGCATTCGTTTATACTCCAGCTGGTTCGACTACTAACACACCCGCTAATAAAGGCTTCATCAATTACAGAGCCGACACCATTCTTACTAAACGTGTGCGTTGTACCGGTGTTTAGCAAGACTACATTGAGCGCCGAAAGAGCGTCCAGTAGTGCTTTCCCTTTGGGTTATTTGCTCTGCAACCCCATTCAACAGCCCATGCATTGAAATCGCCCGCTATTAGGACTGGGCTTCTGTTCCTGGCGTCTTTGACAAGTGTGTCAGTGATCCTATTAAATTTTTCAAGGTCGTAGCTTAGTGGAATATAGCAGCTATAAATAAATATGCCATTAATTTCCGTACATACAAATCCATCGGAGTCTGCCATCATATTTATGGGGCTCGCATTCGCATTGCAATACCAAATAACACTTTTATTTGTCCTATTGCTCACCCAGAATGAGTCATCTTTCTTTTTGTACGGCTCACTGAGTATGACCACATCTACCTTGAGTTCATACACCGTCTGTGCAAGCAGGTCCTGAGCCGCTTGACAGTGATTAAGGTTAAGCTGAAGACACTTCATTTTTTATCTTGGCTGATTTCCTCCAGTTTAGCTTTTGCCTTTTCGAAAGCAGCACAATTTCTACTGCCAGAGACATGCTTAGTATTGTTTGCACCCATTTTTTCGCATAGGTGACACGCTGGCTCGTTCGTACAAGATGTGGCTTTGTGGTCATTGCTGCCGCACTTGAAGCATAAACTTGCTCGATCACTTTGGCTTTGGCATTTCTTAGCGACATGACCGAAGTCATGACATTTATAGCACCTTGTTATAGATACTTTGGCTCTTATTCTGCATATAACCCATCCAATCCGGATTTTAGATTTCTCAAGTAGCATGTGGGCGATCGCTGTTGGCAAGCTTATAGCACACGTTTGCGTACCGCTATACGCGCGCCGCATGGAACGTATAGACGACGATTCAATTTCAATTTGTGTGTCACTAAGTTCCTTTTTAACAGCTTCAAGTACCTCTTCTTTCGTAGTTATCTCGTCCAAATCCTTTATTTCCAGCAAGGTTTCTTGAGTAACCGTGCGGACTTTGGCGTTATCAGCGATGGCACATTCTACGGCTTGTTTAAACTGCCGAGTAGCCTGAGCATCCTGCTTCTTTAGTTCCAGCAGTAACTCATCACCAGCTGTTTTTCTTATACGCTTTACGCTTTCGCTAAATTGCTGGAGTTGCGGTTGCGTCTTAATTATTTTTAAAATCTCAGCGTAAGAACAGTTATCTGCTTTCTTTAATATAACTGCGTCTGGCTTCACTGCTTTAACAGATTTATTACTCCTTTTTCGCGCTACCACCTTTGTCCAGGAACCTAGGTTATGTGCTTGTCCCGTGGCAAATGTTTTGGTTTTGTCTCCTGAAGGTGTTTTTTCAAACCTTTCTTGTACCGGTTCCGGGGTCGTCCTTCCTGAGCTCTGCTTCGGCTTTTCTACGTCCTGCGGCTGTGGCTTGCGTATAACCTTCGCGCCTTGTTTGTTAGCAAGGCTGGTTCTTTTTTGCGAAATGGACTCCTCAAGGTGGTCCCTCGTTTGGGTTCCTTTATTGAAAAGGATGGTTGAATTGGCACTCTTAACAACTCTATTCAACTGAGGGGTAGTTTGTGAAGCCATATTTGTCCCACTTTTAAGTCGAGAGCTTAGAGCTTTCTCGAAGAGGACCGACAGCTCCGCAATGATGTCCCGCATTGGTGGGTTGATGGACCTTCGCTTTCCGTCTTCCAACATCAGGACGAGCTCCTTGATTTTTTCACCCATCACACTCAATGCATTGACCGGAGAAGATGGCTGGGGTTTGGTCGGTGAACGCACCAGTTTTGGGCACCTATCAAAAGGACTTGGCGTATTTTTAGAGCAATTGTCTGCATGTTTCGTCTGGCTGTTAGTATTCAATCGCCCAGGTGGGGGCGATCTGGGAACACTCATATTGTTTTAATTATTATTATTAATATTATACAATTGTTGTTGCTATTATTATTATTATTCAATTTATTTACTCTCATTAATTTATTTTGTTGTAGTTATCAGTATTATTAAATTTTATTTTTAAAATTTATTTTTTTTTATTATTTATTTAAAAGAGTTATAAATAATTATATATATTATTAAATTTTATTATTATAAATATTATAAAATTAAAGAAATTTTCATTATTACTGTATTTATAGTATTAATTTTAGTGTTGGATGTTGTTATTAGTATTATTATGTTATTTGGTTCGATTAATATTATTTAAGTTATGGAATGTTATATATTATTAGCAAAACCCGATCTTGCACCACACACCCTATCACCCTATAATTTGATGGGTTGTGTCTTTGCTAAGTGTCACACTTGCACACAGCTGATGTACTGTTCTCACTTTGGGTGACAAGATCAGCTGTATTTGTTTACAATTAGCTTTTTTATATTGTTTTTAGCAAACTTTAGCTGTCTCGTTCGTGTGAAAGGTTCAGTTAAAAGTTTTTAATATTTTTAATTTTTGGTATTCGCAAATCAGTTTTTTTATTAAAAAACAACACACGTGTTTAACAATGTAAATTCTTCACTCACCAACATGAAAAGGAATCACTCACATGTAAGTTAAAGCCATGCATTAATGCATTACATGGATTGAATTACGTATTTTCCTTTGTTACAGGGAGCCACAAAAAAAATACACCTTTCACTTGCAATGTTGCATACCATCATCCGACGACTGTTGTTCCAGAAAATACCCTTGTAGCTCACCCGGACTCTAAAGTTTCCAAGCTGCAGAGACAAGAATCATAATTGCCTTCGAAGCATTAGTAGAGAGTATCTGTGCTTCTCTTCTATCAAGGCGTGGTTGGTAATTAACGACACGTTAAAGAACATTGATTTGGTGCGGATTGTGGTAAAACGCTCACACAGTGGGTTGTAAAGCAAGACCCGGAGACAAAATTTCCCTCCACCCACGAATCTGATATCAATTTTATTGCCTTCATATGTCACAAGACATCAAGAAGCTGGCCAATGAAGGACATCTCAAGTTTAGATTATAATGGCACCTCTCAGCAGAGACTTTACTGGACCTAGAACCGTAAGTATTGGGTTGCCCTAAAAGAAACAGGCAATTTTTTTAAAGGAAATAAATACATTTTTTAGATAAAATAATGAATATTAATCAAGTATGGAATTTCCACTTTGTTGGATGTCTTTTCGCCATCTTGCCGGCAGCATCAATGTTTCACGCTCATACCACTTCTGGCAGTTATCTGCAAAATACTGAACCAACTGCGATTTTATAGCTTGGTCATTTTCGTTAGATTTACCATTCAATGAGCTCAGCAAGTATCGAAACAAATGGTAGTCTGACGGTGCACATGTATCAACTGTTCCCAGCCAATCGCTCTCAGTTTTTGGCGAGAGACCAAAGATGTGTGCGGTCTAGTATTGTCCTGGTGGAATATGGCACCTTTACTGGACCGATTCCGGCCGCTTCTCCCTAATGGACATATTAAATTTCTTCTTTTGATGAATATCAGCATTAGAAGTGGTTTGTGGCGCTTCATCATGCTTAAACAATGATTGGTTGACGTTATTGTAAGCAATCCATTTTTCATATCCAATTATGATTTTCTTCAAAAACAGATCATATTCATTGCGTTTAAGATGCTTATCAGAAGCGTTGAATTGGATTGTTAAATGAATATCTTTAAATTTATCTGGTACCCAAATATCAAATTTTTCATCAGTTCCAGACGTCGTATATGATCATGAGCGTTTGATTTGGTATACTTAACTTCTATCCAATCTCACACACACACAGTTACATGACGATCCGATTCATTTAAAGTCTTTATATAATCATCATTTGGTCCAAATTCCAAATGTCAGGCATGCTTTTTTTTGGTCATCATCATACATCAATTTGGCTGGAATGTAAATGTATCAATGGTCCAAAGTATACCACTGTAAGCCATTTTCTTGAAGACATCCCTAAAGATTTAGAAAACGGCATAACAATATCCGAATTATTCATTGAATATATGAAAATAGCTAAATTGAATCATTCTTTTCTAAGCTAACTTTAAACTTTTGTAGATTTTTTAGATGGGGTGTAGTCAGCTTCCTGGTATGCTGTTACAGTTGCGAGGTTATACTCAATTCCTACTCTTGCGTCCACGTCGCGCACCCTGGAAACCCTTGGCTTACTCGCCTGGCGAGATTGTGCGCTGGGTCTGGGACCCGCCACGTAGAAACCAGCTCTAATGAAAACTTATACAACAACAAACCCCCTTTCTGTTGACAACCCCCAAATGAATTAAGGATAACGATTTGAGGGCATGTACCTGAATTGTCCGGTCCTTTAATTAGAAAGGTGTCGCTGGTTGATGTCCTCGTAAGAATAAAGGCTGACATTACCGCCATCCAAGAAGTGCGATGGACATACAAGGACAAAAGCGAGTAAGTTCTTGTGACATTTACTACAGTGTCCATATAAAGGAGCGTAAATTTGGTTTCGGATTCGTGGTGGGAGAGAGATTCCGTCGTCGAGTGCTGGCATTCATGGATGGATAAGCGTTTTGCCACAATCCTCATCAAAACGGAATTTTTGAAAATGACGCTGATTTGCGCCAACGCCCCGTCAGAAGAGAAAAAAAAATACGTCAGGCTACTTGGCTGTACCCTGATCAAGGAACAGAAAACCAGATCGATCATGATATACGGGACCCGTGGGACGGCATCGCAAACACTCTACGTTCAGCTGCAAACGAAACTATTGGATTTCGTAAAGGTCGTAAAAACAGCTGGTACGATGAGGACTGCCGTGTCGTAGTAGATAGAAAACACACTGCCTATCTCGACCAAAAGACGAGCGGGTTTGGATAGATACCGAGAGATGAAGAGGAAGCAAGACGCATCGGCAGACTAAAAAAGCAAGTGGCCGAGATGAGTGAGGATGAAGAGCTTGAAAAGCAGGCCGACAAGGTCAACGCTCGAATATTCTACGAGAAGATTCGACGGCTTGCAGAAGGTTTTAAGACCAGAGCATACTCTTGTCGGACACAAATAGGTGATATAGCCTCTGTTGTCTAGAGTATATGGAATTTAAGGATGGAATACCTCTCCAAACTGCTGAATAGTAGTGAAGTGTGGCGTTCGAAAACTAACGATGTTTCAGACAGGGTGACTCTTTGTCGGGTGATTACTTAATTTTCGTGCTAGAGAGAATAATAAGAGCTGCAGAGCTGAATAGAAAAAATGCAATCTTCTATAAAAGCTTACAACCACTGGCGTACGCCGTTGATATTGACATTTTCATCATCACCATTTCATAAGTCTTCCTTCCTTCTAGTACAACTTTCTGCGCATCTACATTTGCAAAATGGCTTAAATTAGTAATAAAAAGAAAACTGTAACATGAGAATTATCATGTAAAAAGAGCAAAAGGAAACCTAAATGAGGTTATAGATGTGTAAGGTACACTTATAAACAAAGTGAATAAACGCTGAACTTTTTTTTTTATATTTAAATATAATTTTATTATAACTAAAAGCATGGTGAAGAGTTTAAGGATCTTTCTATAATAAAAATACAAATAATTTAATTATACTATAAAAAGAGATACACATGTATAGCAACTTAATGCATACATATTTCTTAACATTGTAATGATCATTTAATTAGCTGCTTCAACATTATTGCTGATCTTCGTGAAGGCCTTCGACGATCATCATGCCATAAGGGGAAAATGTATCATTTTTATACCGATTATTATACCATTTTTTTATATACGTTTTGTATTAATCGCTCGCCTGAGAGAATTGCATTTTATTAACTTACAGTAATAACATTTATTGACTCTCCTGCTTGCTCATTCGCAGCATAGGATGCTCGCCGATCGGTTGATCTTGTAGGTTAGCTACACCGGCTAACCTCATCTGTGAAGGAGCGGGTAGAGTAAATATGTAAAAGCACAACTGATCTGCAAATTACAGAGAGTGCCTAGGGTTGCCATGCATCCTTAGTAAATTTCACATGTACTGAATTTCTTGTTATTTTTTTTATTATTAGTTTTCTTAACATTATCTATGTTATTGTTTTTGTGTTGTTTCAACAGTCCATTTGCATAAATTACCATAGAAACTGAAGCTCAAAATGTATATTTTCTAAGATGTTTTATTCCAGTAGATTTTGTATCTTCCTACATTTTGTAAATAAAATTAAGAATGTGAATAAAATTTTAAATTTCAAATGTGAATTCTTAAATTATTTATTATTTTCCCTCATCGCAAAGTAAAGGCTGATTCGGTTAAAGAAGCGCATATCTTAATAACGCCTTTAAGATATAACTATATATTTCTTCTGCTAGCCAGTTGGTCAAGCAGCTTTGCTGTTTTTATTTGTTCTTTAGTTTTCTTCACAGTATGTCACGATCATACAGGGGATTTTCTTTTGTTTGTGTGATTGGTTTTGGCCCATTTAATTTTAGAGCAGATGTTGTATTCATTTTAATTATTTTGTTGTGAAACAAGGGAGTCTAAAATAATCGTTTATGTGTTTATGTGCAAATAGTGGAAGTTGAAGTGTCAAGAATCGCCCATCCCGACTTCTAGCTAGCGTTTCAAAGGCTCTGGCCCGACTCTTCTTCTATTCCTATAGAACCCGGTTTTCAGTAACCATGCATGCTACAAACTATTTTACAATTGTGCATTACACTATTGACAGTCATAACTTTGAAGTCGTAGATAGTTTCGTCTATCTCGGAACCAGCATTAATACAAATTATAACGTCAGCTTTGAAATGCAGCGCAAAATCACTCTTACCAATAGGTGCTACTTTGGACTGAGTAGGCATTTGAAAAGTAAAGTCCTCTCCCGACGAACGAAAACCAAACTCTACAACTCCCTCATAGTTCCCGTACTGTTAGGAGTTTTCGAGAAAAAGCTTCAGTGAACCAAGTGGCAGCGGTTACGCTGGCTAGGTCGTGTGATCCGTATGGATGCAAATACTTCAGCTTTGAAAGTTTTCGATGCAGTACCCGCGGATGGAAGCGGAGGAGGAGGAAGACCTCCACTCCGTTGGAAAGACCAGGTAGAAAAGGTTCTGGCTGAACTTGGTATATCCGATTGGTGCCAAACAGCAAAAGGTAGAAACGATTGGCGCATTGTTGCAAATCCGCTGTAATCGCGTAAGTGGCGTCTACGCGAGTAAAGTAAGTAAGTAAGATACCGGCAATACTTGAACGAAGTGTACTTGAAATTTGACATTTTGTGTAAGGAAAGTAACTTTTTTCATTAAGTGATGGATAAAAACTCTATTTTGTGTCACAGCGTTATTATAGCCCCTTGTAAGTCTAAATTCATAATTTATAAAGAAAACACTAATTATGAGAAACTTTTTTTTTTTTTGCAAAAAATTTACTTACGTAGGATAAGCATACCAACCACTATGGGAAGTTCCATCAAATTCCATTCACATTAGCAACCATTCAATTAAATGAGGGGTCGTTGCAAATTGCCGTTAAATTGAGCAATTCGTAGCACTAATCGTATAAATTAGTTAGCTCAAAGCTTGCACTTAATATATTTCTACATATATGTATATTTATATTGACAGTAATTAGAAGAGATATTAAGTTTTGTTCTCTTATTTATTTATTTCCAGAACAGCGCTGTGTTTGCTGCAAGAGGAGACTGTGACAAATATTTTGAGATCCACTACTTCTAAGAATAAATGCTTATAAATTTTCACATTTTAAGTAAGTTTGGCGAGTTGTGTGTGTATGTGTTGTACATGTCATTGCACTCTTTATATTAAATACTACAAAAGGCATCTTACCGTTAACTCATCCATTTGACAAGGCACTCGGTGACTTGACTCTTTGTTGTTTTTGTTTTCGTCGCTGCGCTGCCGTTCTTCTGTACATATTCATGTATGTACTCGTATGCACGTCTGTGCTTTGGCCATTTGTTCATTTCATTCCGTTGCTATGCTCATATGTTCCTGCTCATGACTTTTTTGGTAAGTCCAACTAAGTAAGCAACCAACCGTGCAACATATGTTTGTTCTAGCGTATCTATGCAGAAAACTTTGCTTTGGCGGGAGTCCACTGCAGTGACTTTTTGCCTTTGCTAATGTTTTCAACCCTTTTTATATGTACCGGCACTAATTCTTTTTGCCATATTTTCAGACCCAAAGCATAACTACATATGGGTTTTGAGGATCAAAGTTCACTTAATTTTTTCTCTACAGATTCCAACTTAAGATGTTGCCCATAAGTATTTTAATTTTAAGAAAATGCTATCATCTGTTGGGGAGCTACTTTCTGCGGAGCCGGGTATCAATTAAAGACCTAAAAAAATTAATTATTAGCGATATTGAACCGATTTTCGTAAATTAAGCCCGGGTGGTTTAACAAATCCTGCCCTGTCGATCATTGGATGGTTAAATAAATATCGCACGCAGTGTACTAATCATACTTTGTGTCACTAATAAGATCTCGACATAACTGAACTTCAGCTTTGTCACTAACGAACTGAATTTTTCCCTCTGCAAATAAACCTTCTGCAGTGTGTACCTACGCGCTTATATACCCGTCGATAGGTTGCATACCGATCTGAGCAGTTCTGGATCCCAGCGCGATTATCTCTATTCTTCCTATCAGCTGACTTTTCTTGTAACAAAATTTTAATAAACACAAGATTTTTTTATTTTATCCCTTTTTTAAATAAAATCCTTTTTTAACAGTAAGTCGGCGAACATTGAGTTTAAGGTACCAAATAAGTAATATAGGTTAATTTTCTGTTAATTTTTAACATTATATTCTACCAAAAAACTGTTTAATAATTTATGCCTTGGGTGCAATAAGTTTCATTATAAATTTTCATTTCCTCCTAAGCCATTAAAGATTTGTCTCTCTCCCCACCCTTCATTTTAATATGCATCTCTAACTCAACATTTACATACACATGTACATGTATGTATGTGTGCATTTTCATATATAATATTAAATTCTGTGCCAAACATTTGTTAAGTGCGACAAATA